TCGCAACTGCTGTCTTCACGGAAGCTTTGCGTTCAGATATTTCAAATCAATATTTTGTGTCTAAATATTTATTTATGTGGCAAGTAGCAATGTAATAAGCGGGATCATGTACATCCAGCCGGTGGTTATCGCAGAATAACCCCTGACAAGGTGATCTGGACCCCCAACGCAATGCGGGTTACAACATGTTAGGAGCATGTTAATTCGTATTAGCAAAATGTTAAAAACATGTTAGCTACATGTTAAAAAATGTTAGCGATGTGTTAAATGATGCTAGGAACATGCTAACGCATATTAGCAACATGTTAAAAGATGTTAGCGATTTGATAAATAATGCTAGGGACATACTAATGCATGTTAGCAACATGTTAAACATGCTCAAATATGTTAGCGGTGTGCTAAATCATGTTCGAAACGTGCTAGCAACTTGTTAAACCATCATAGCAAAATGTTAAAACATGTTAGCGACTTGCCAAAACATGTTAGCAATTTGTTAAAACATGCTAGCAGTGTGTTAACGGATGCTAGCAATGTGCTAAATCATGTTAGTGACATTTTATTGACTTTATTCTCTGAGAAAATTTTTCAAACTTCAAGGTTTTCAAAGTAGTTTTAAACTTTCAGAACCTGACTTTGTCAAGCCAACATCAAAGCTTGTCATCTGTCAGTTTTTAAGGAAAATGTTAGATTTTGAAATCTGACTATTTTAATGTAAGTAAACCCATTATTAAGGGTGTTTAGATTAGTTTTTAATGTCCAGATCTATAGTAATGACTCTGAAAAGTGTTTGTCCACCTTCAATTTGGCCCCCAAAACAAGGGAGACTTGGTGTGGAAGAACTAGAAAAGCGGCTTTGTATGTTCCAGTTTTACAACACACACACACACACACACACACACGTTCACTCTCAGTAAATCAGCAGCACACGCCTACACAGGCTGACTCACGCCGTCCACCTCCCTCTCCTCGCACACCGGTACATTTCCTTCAGCCTATCTCACCACACAACTGCCAAAAAACACACTCCAGTTCGCTGCAGCGCCGCAGCCTTTCCAGGGCCGCCTGCCAGTCTTGCCTCTCTTTTTTCTCGTCTCAGGCTCAGTCTTTGTTTCACCATCTCTCTGTCTCTCCTGATGCTCGCTCTTGTTGTGGGTGGTGAGATCGTCTCACCCTTCAGAGCAGTTTTTAAGTGTGTAGTGTCAGCTAGAGCTTCCTGTGTCAGTAAGACAGGGTTTCGGTATGCAGGAAAAGCATTGTGTTTGCTGACTGAACAGAGTTTAATAGCATTAAGTAGTAGCCTTTATTTCATCCATTAGTGTGTCTATCTTTACCTGTCAAGAATCTTTGTTTTGGGTAACAGTGGTTGTCTTTCTCAAGTCCCAAGTTACTTTTAGTCTTTTAGTTTGATTGCTAACCCTTCAGTTTTCTTTGCAGAAAAGATAAATCCAAGGGTGAATCTCATGAAAAATGTCTACATCATATTTTACTCTCAAATCAAAAGAAATGATTAATTAGCCAAACTCTGACCCCTTGATTACGACAGTTCAAATTTGGGGATGTTTTAAATGCAAAAAAGAAAATGTGTAATTTTGTGACTATTTTCATGATAATAAAACGCATTTTAATATTTGTTTTATAATGAAAATAATGTCTCAAAATTAAAATTGAATTTATAAAATGAATAAATTAATTAAATAATTTATTCATTTTATTTGGGAGGAAAAATATGCTAAATTGTCATGAAAATAATGGCACAAAAATGCATATATTTGTGTATATATATATATCTAAAAAAAATATATACTTATTTTGGGGGTGGGTGAAATTTGAAGCGGACATGATGTAGGGAGATTCATTCTATAGATAAAATTATTTGCCACACTTTTATGAAAATTTACTAGACAGTTTTTTTTTTTTTTTGGAAGAGCGAGTCATTTAAAATATTTTACTATGCTTGGCATCAGTCTTTGACATTAATTCAGGAGGAAGATGTACTGTAATATTATCCCTGTAATCGCCCTGCATTTCCTGCCTGTGCCTGTGCATGAGAGAACGGCATTGCTCAGACTAACATGCGCCCCTTGGTGTTTGCATGCAGTCACTGCATCCAGCAGATCCTGGAGGCGGTGCTTCATTGCCATCAAATGGGCGTGGTGCACCGAGATCTCAAGGTGAGTGACAGGTGATTTGTTCGTCTGTGTGTGTTGTGCATGCTTTAATGTACAAATATGCCATGTGTGATGTGCAATTATGATTCGGGATTCGGATGGCGAGATGATTAATTGAATGGCTTAAAGGGACAGGCCAACCAAAAATGAAAATTCTGTCATCTACACACCCTCATGTCATTCAAAACCTGTATGGATTTCATTCTTTTTCTGAACACAAGAAGAGATGTTTTGAAGAATGTTGGTAACCAACTCAGTTTCTGGTATCCATTGACTTCCATAGTAGTTTTTTTTTTCTTTTTCCGTATAATGGAAGTCAATGGGAACCAACATCTGTTTGGTTATCTACATTCTTTAAAACATATTTTCTTAAAAACTCATACAGGATGAACAACCTGAGGGTGAGTAAATGATGTCAGAATTTTCATTTCAGTGTGAACTGACTCTTTAATACTCGCGATCCGATTTGGCATGACGTTTTGCGTGCATGTACGTCTATGTCTGGCATAAAACTCTTAAATTGTGCCGTTATTTATTTTTATTGTTGATTTTATGTCAAGTGATATGTTATGTTATTTGTTTGAAGACTTCTCACACAGGTTGATTCTGAGCTAGAATGGAATAACTCGCCAATAAATCGTTGCAATATGATGAGGAACATCATATAGGGTCAGTTTTGATTTCATGTTGCTGCTTTTTCTAATCCTGCTTCAGTTCAGAAGTCGCTCTTTATATTTTAGAATAAGAATCAGGGTATGCAAATCTCAGTCTGGATGCGTTTGCAGCGTCGTTTCCCCCGGATGCGGCTCAAGGTCATTGAGCATTTCACACCATCCTACGGATTCTCAATCAGAACACTATACAAATCATGAGCCCGAAACGTCGAGATGCCATCTGAGCTCCACGAATAGCTCCAGCAGATGGTAACGGTGGCTGAGCGTCAGAACACAGACACCGTTCATCTCTTTTCAGAGCAGCATCTGTAGCGCGAGTGAGGACGACAAGAAGAAAGGGATCAGAGATTGAGACTGAAAAACTTCCCATGATTCTTTGCTCCTCTGGACCCAATTTCCCACCTGGATCAACTTTCAGCAGAGCTGAGGGAACATAACCTACTTAATAACACACACACACTCTCACACTCACGCTGAACGCTATGTGGAAGTGTGAATGTGCGTGTTAAGTGGGATGATGTATGATTAACCCATATGTCTAAACGAGTGACCGTAGGTTACGTGAGAAAATTAAATCAAAATTGGATTCCTTGATACCTTTGGTTAATGTTCTGTGTAAATATTTATGCAGGTTCAAAAGTTTGGGGTCTATAAGATTTTTTAAATGTTTTTGAAAGACTTATTTTATGTTCAGCAAGGCTGCATTTATTTGATAAAATTCAGTATTCACAATTTCACATAACTGTTTTCTGTTCGAGTCGGAGTATATTTTGACTGCATCCAGCAGATCCTGGAGGCGGTGCTTCATTGCCATCAAATGGGCGTGGTGCACCGAGATCTCAAGGTGAGTGACAGGTGATTTGTTCGTCTGTGTGTGTTGTGCATGCTTTAATGTACAAATATGCCATGTGTGATGTGCAATTATGATTCGGGATTCGGATGGCGAGATGATTAATTGAATGGCTTAAAGGGACAGGCCAACCAAAAATGAAAATTCTGTCATCTACACACCCTCATGTCATTCAAAACCTGTATGGATTTCATTCTTTTTCTGAACACAAGAAGAGATGTTTTGAAGAATGTTGGTAACCAACTCAGTTTCTGGTATCCATTGACTTCCATAGTAGTTTTTTTTTTCTTTTTCCGTATAATGGAAGTCAATGGGAACCAACATCTGTTTGGTTATCTACATTCTTTAAAACATATTTTCTTAAAAACTCATACAGGATGAACAACCTTTTTTTTTACTTGGATTTCAGCTGCGTAACAAGAACATGACCAATTTAAGTTTATAGGACAACTAAACTATCAATTTAAACAAAAATTTACTGTCAACTACAGACGTTGCATCCATTAATTCCGCCATGTTTCTCATTGACACGCCCCCAACTCGGGGCTTAAAGAAAAGTTTGAGTTTCCCACTCGTAATAACGACTTTGTGGTGGCGTTCATGTGCATTCAACTCGTAAATACGATTTATCCGACATGACTTGAACACACCATAATACTAATATGCTGATTTGCTGCTGCATATTTTTGTGGAAACCATGATATTGTTTTTCAGGATTCTTTGATGAATATAAAGTAAAAAAAAAGCAGCATTTATTTGAAATCTTTTATAACATAAAGATATTTTCTGTCACTTCTGGTCAATTTAATGCATGCTTGCCGAATAAAAAAAGGGAAAAAAATCTTAATGACCCCAGATTTTTCAATGTTTTTGTATGTGCATATTTGTTTTTTGAGCGTCAGAACACAGACACCGTTCATCTCTTTTCAGAGCAGCATCTGTAGCGCGAGTGAGGACGACAAGAAGAAAGGGATCAGAGATTGAGACTGAAAAACTTCCCATGATTCTTTGCTCCTCTGGACCCAATTTCCCACCTGGATCAACTTTCAGCAGAGCTGAGGGAACATAACCTACTTAATAACACACACACACTCTCACACTCACGCTGAACGCTATGTGGAAGTGTGAATGTGCGTGTTAAGTGGGATGATGTATGATTAACCCATATGTCTAAACGAGTGACCGTAGGTTACGTGAGAAAATTAAATCAAAATTGGATTCCTTGATACCTTTGGTTAATGTTCTGTGTAAATATTTATGCAGGTTCAAAAGTTTGGGGTCTATAAGATTTTTTAAATGTTTTTGAAAGACTTATTTTATGTTCAGCAAGGCTGCATTTATTTGATAAAATTCAGTATTCACAATTTCACATAACTGTTTTCTGTTCGAGTCGGAGTATATTTTGAAATGTAATTTATTCTTGTGATCAAAACTGAATTTTCAGCATCATTACTCCAGTCTTCAGTGTCACATGATCCTTCAGAATTAATGCTGCGTTCAAGTCCTCCTGGGACGTTCGTACTTACGAGTTGACAAGTCGTAATTATGACGTCAGGTGCGTTCAAGTCAGTTTAGTCGGCACAAGATGGCGGTGTACCTTTTAATAAATTACAAGAAAATACAACAGGTTCTGCATTTTTTTTACTTGGATTTCAGCTGCGTAACAAGAACATGACCAATTTAAGTTTATAGGACAACTAAACTATCAATTTAAACAAAAATTTACTGTCAACTACAGACGTTGCATCCATTAATTCCGCCATGTTTCTCATTGACACGCCCCCAACTCGGGGCTTAAAGAAAAGTTTGAGTTTCCCTCTCGTAATAATGACTTTGTGGTGGCGTGCATGTGCATTCAACTCGTAAATACGATTTATCCGACATGACTTGAACACACCATAATACTAATATGCTGATTTGCTGCTGCATATTTTTGTGGAAACCATGATATCGTTTTTCAGGATTCTTTGATGAATATAAAGTTAAAAAAAGCAGCATTTATTTGAAATCTTTTATAACATAAAGATATTTTCTGTCACTTCTGGTCAATTTAATGCATGCTTGCCGAATAAAAAAAGGGGAAAAAATCTTAATGACCCCAGATTTTTCAATGTTTTTGTATGTGCATATTTGTTTTTTGCTTTTTTTTTTTATCAACATGAAATCAAAATCAACCCTAGTGTCCGTTGTTAATGTTATCAGTGTTCTGTGTAAATATCTGTGGAAGTATATTGTGTTGTGTGAATGCGGTTTCATGTTGACTTGAAAGATAAAAACAAAGCTAATTTCCTGGAAATCTTTATCAAACATCAGTGGGATCACTGAGAGCGCGTCCTCAATCAAATCCACAGTGTTAAACTAAAGATAATCCAGTCCGCTCTCAGAGGAAGGTGCTGTAAGGAACACTGGGATAGAGTGACAGGAAAGAACAACTTTAAAGATGCTTTTCAGGATGAATAACACTACTCTGCATTACACTACTACATCCTGTATTAATTAACTTTAAGTCAATAGCAAGCTAATGTAATGTTACCTAGAGCTAATTTAACAAATGTTTGCACACTCAGGTGTGTAAAATCAGTGGTTCTCAACCTTTTTGGCTCCAAGGCTTCCCATTGTCCAAAAAGTATTCAAAGGCCCCGTTTATAGATGAAGATATTTCTGGTTCTTCTGCTGTAATTACAAAGCTACTTGTTTCGAACTTGTTTTTTTACTTCTTTTTTTTTTTTTTTTCAATCTAGGAGAGTTATTTTCTTAAAATTGTGAAAGAAGTAATTAAAATCTTCCACTTAAAATGACTTTTCCAGTTGTTTGTGATTACAGGATATGTTTAATTTTAATATAATTTTTACTCATACGATTTCTCAGCAGTTTTTACATGAAAAATTATTTTATGTCTTGACATAACTATATTTAAATATTTATATTCCAAATTTCCATGATTTCTTAAAGGGATAGTTCACCCAAAAATTTAAATTCTGTCATTAATTACTCACCCTCAAGTCGTTCCAAACCCGTAAGACCTTCGTTCATCTTCGGAAAACAAATTAAGATATTTTTGATGAAATCCGAGAGCTCTCAGACCCTGCATAGACAGCAACGCAACTGAATTGTTCCCAGGTCCAGAAATGTAGTAAGGACATCAGTAAAACAGTCCATGTGACATCAGTGGCTCAACTTCAGTTTTGCGAAGCTACAAGAATACTTTTTGAGCGCAAAGAAAACAAAAATGACATCATTTATTCAACAATTCTTCTCCCCCGAGTTACGTCTTCCGCCATTTTAGAGAGTATCACAACACATTCGCACGCTTTCCCCTAAGCATAAACAACGCTGATTACGCAGATTACGTTCATGCGCGTGCTTTCTCCTCCGAACGTAAACAACGCTGATTATGTTCATGCGCGCACTTTCTCCTCCGAACGTAAACAACGCTGATTATGTTCATGCGCGCACTTTCTCCTCCGAATGTAAACAACGCTGATTACGCAGATTACGTTCATGTGCACGCTTTCGCCTCCAAACGTAAACAACGCAGATTACGTTCATGTGCGCGCTTTCTCCGACGAACGTAAACAACGCTGATTACGCAGATTACGTTCATGTGCGCGCTTTCTCCTCCGAACGTAAACAACGCTGATTACGCAGATTACGTTCATGCGCGCGCTTTCTCCTCCGAACGCTGATTACGCAGATTACGTTCATGCGCGTGCTTTCTCCTCCGAACGTAAACAACGCTGATTACGCAGATTACGTTCATGCGCACGCTTTCTCCTCCGAACGCAAACTACGCTGATTACGCAGATTATGTTCATGTGCGCGCTTTCTCCTCCGAACGTAAACAACGCTGATTATGTCGATTACGCTCTTGGGTACTCTCCAAAATGGCAGAAGACGTAACTCGGGAGAGAAGAATTGTTAAATAAATTATTTTTGTTTTCTTTGCGCTCAAAAAGTATTCTCGTAGCTTCGCAAAACTGAAGTTGAGCCACTGATGTCACATGGACTGTTTTACTGATGTCCTTACTATGTTCCTGGACCTGGGAACAATTCTGTTGCTGTCTATGCAAGATCTGAGAGCTCTCACATTTCATCAAAAATATCTTAATTTGTTTTCCGAAGATGAACGAAGGTCTTACGGGTTTGGAGCGACATGAGGGCGAGTAATTAATGACAGAATTTTCATTTTGGGGTGAACTATCCCTTTAAGATTTTATATATTTCCAAGACTTTTCCAGGTCTAGAAATCACTTTTTTAATACCCTCATATATCCAGGAATTTCAAGACCATGGGAGCCCTGGTTCTTTAAAAATTACATTAAAATGTTAGTCATTGAAGGAACAAATTAAAATAATAAATATGACATAAGTTTTCATCCTGATTTTATCTGTTTTAGTTCATTTCAAAGATGTGTTTTTTTTTCTTGTTTTACATTATTTTAAGCCATTTTGCTGCCCACTTTAAAGTGTGCTAAGGCTCCCTAGTGGGTCCCACCCAGGGTTATCGTTAACTAAAAGTAAAACTATTAGAACTTTTTTGTTAATTGAAATACAACTGAAATATAATAAAATATAAATAATAGATTTAAAAAACAAAACAAAACAAAACGTTTTCTAATTTTCATTTAGATGAAGCACTAAAATTACTAACTGGAAATAGATAACCAAAACTGAACTAAAACTAATAGCTGAAATAGAAATAATAGTAATATTTAAAAAAATATATATATAATAATAGTAATAAAAATTTCAAAAGCACATAACAAAATGACCAAATTTAACCCAAATTAAAATGATAAATAAATAAATAAAATATTAATAGAAACTATAATAAATAATACTAAAACAAGACTGGTCCCAGCTACCTGGTTGTGAAACAATGGCTTAGCATAATTTATCACCTTTATTTTAGTTGTTAGGAGACATTTTAAATGGAAAGCAGTAGTACGTCACTGGAAATTTGCCAATTAGACATTATTTTGAGTTGAAATCAAACTGGCAATGTGCTTCTAGCAAACTCTACCGGTGACAGAACATGGCGCTGCCCAGCACAGCTTATATTTTGGGAGCTGATTCTGTTTGTGTGCTGTATCTCTTGCGCAGCTGTGGTTGTATGTTATGTGTTAAGTGTTAAAAGGTGACATGTATCAGATTTGGGTTCAGCAGTAATATGAGTGCACCCCTGATCTCCCCTTCAGCCAGAGAACCTGCTCTTGGCCAGTAAATGCAAGAACGCCGCCGTCAAGCTGGCTGACTTTGGCCTGGCCATTGAAGTGCAGGGGGACCAGCAGGCCTGGTTTGGTACGTGGTCACTTCAAACTCTCCCAAAGAAAAAAATCTCAACTGTTTTGCATTATTTGTTTAACTTCTGGCATCCAAATAGTTTTCTCCGGCATAAAAACACTGATGTGTTGGAAAGAGCCTGGATGTTGCCTTTTTAGATGTGTATTTTTGCGTTCACATGCAGGGTTCGCTGGAACGCCAGGTTACCTTTCCCCAGAAGTGCTACGAAAGGAGGCTTATGGGAAACCTGTGGACATTTGGGCATGTGGTGAGTCACACACTCCCTCCCGAGAGAGTTCTTTGCATCTATTTCCATCTTCTTTCTCTCTCGATGGCCTGCACATATTCAGACACATCAGCTCTCAGATGTGGAGAGCTCTTCTCTGGCAGGTGTTGTCAAGAGGCTGTTGCCTAACAGCGCTTTCACCGCTTCAGCCGCCACCGTCGTGTTTCACATCCACTTTCTCTAGAGTATCGCTAGTCGAGCGGTTTAATTACTTTGCAGATCAGTACGTGGGATGGTGTTTTTTTTTTTGTCTGGGGTTGGCAATTCTGATTCATTTCGACTAAGTGGTTCATTAGGATTGTTTTGTATATCAGTGAACCAGTTCATGGATTCATATGAGTCATTCTCAAAATGCAACTCTCAAAATTGTTCGCCATTTTACGTTTGTTGTGACAAAATAAATGTTTAGTTAATTTAAACTGGGTTGCACTTTATATTAAGGTGTCCTTGTTACAGTGTAATTATACATTTAAGTACTGAGTAATATTAACTACATATATGATTAGGGTTTGGCTTAGGGTTACTTGCATGTAATTATGCATAATTTATTGTTATTATACTAGTAAGTACATGTAACGTGTAACAAGGACAACTTAAAATAAAGTGTTACCTTAAACTGTTTATCACCAGGCCCCGTGACTTTTAGCAACAATCTTGAACCCACCTGGCAGTTTTAGTCTCCAAACAAATGATAAAGAAAGAGTTATAACAAAGAACTGGTTTAAAGAATGAATCATTAATTTGAACCTGTTCATTATTTCTCAATATAATTAATCAATTTCCATTTTTAATACATTTATAGTATTTTTATTATTTTTTTAAAAATAGTGTTTTACACACTCTTTTAATTTATATAATATAATTACTATATATATACAGTATATATATATATATATAATGTTTTTAAAGAAGTTTTTTCTGCTCATCAAGGCTGCATTTATTTGATCAAAAATATAGAAAATGCAGTGATATTGTTAAATATTATTGCAATTTAAAATAATGGTTTTCTATTTTAATACACTTTAAAATGCAATTTAATTCTGTGATGAAAAGCTGAATTTTCAGCATAATTACTCCAGTCTTTAATGTCACATGATCCTTCAGAAATCATTCTGATATGCTGATTAATTATCAATGTTGGAAACAGTTTTGCTGCTTAATATTTTTTTGGAACTTGTGACACTTTTTTCTGGATTCTTTGATTAATAAAAAGTTTAAACGCTGTTTTTTTCTAACAATATAAGTCTTCACTATCACTTTTAGTCCTTTTTAAATTTACTGACCCCAAACTTTTGAACGGTTGTGTATTTTGTGTATAAAGTATTTCAAAGAACCAGTTCAAAACAATGAATTATTGACAGATTAGACTTCATAACAAGTGTGTTAAGCGATTTCCGCTGTTTTGATAACTCTTGCCATTTTAGTTTATATTTCTATTATGTTTCTCTATATAATTAAACAATACAATTTACATATTTTGATCTATTTCTATTTTTTATATGTTGTTTATTAAAATATCTTCATGAATTATAAATTGTGGAAATCATATTCAATAAATTATATAAAGAAATCAACTTGGACGTTAAAAGTGTAGCTGTTTTGATAGCATTGGATATTTAAGTTTATATTTTTTATATCATATAATTTTGTGTTTATATTTATATGTAATATGTATGCATATGTTTATAGAATTTATATGTGTATTTATTATTACATTTAGGGATGTTTTAGGCGTGCCTAAATGTCTGCTTTAGAAGCTGAAGAATTGTGAGTGCACAAAGAACATCATGGAATCTGTTAGAAGTGAGACGTCTATAATGTGATTGCAGGAGTCATCCTGTATATTCTGCTGGTGGGATATCCTCCGTTTTGGGATGAAGACCAGCACAAACTCTACCAGCAGATCAAAGCCGGGGCTTATGATGTGAGTCCCCTTGTGATTTCACTCATACAGTATAACTTGAGTCAAAAGATAACCGGTTGTGTTCCCATGTTTCCTGTAGTTCCCCTCGCCAGAGTGGGACACGGTCACCCCTGAGGCCAAAAACCTCATCAATCAGATGCTGACCATCAATCCAGCCAAGAGAATCATGGCCCAGGAGGCTCTTAAACACCCGTGGGTCTGCGTGAGTATTACCAGCCACCAACCAGCCCAAAATACTAACATACACCAGATCACATACACTTAAAGGGGTCCTATTATGCTCTTTTACAAAGTCTTGATTTTGTTTTGGGGGTGTACTAGAACAGGCTCTCATACTAGGTTGTTCGAAAAACACATTATTTTTCACATATTTTACATTATTACAACACCTCTCTCCCCAGTCTGGCATGAACGGCTCGAATAGTTCCTGTATCAAATGAAGGACCGCTTTCTGAAATACAAAATGTGCTGTGATTGGTTAGCGGGGCCAGTGTGTGTTGTGATTGGTTAGCTGGGTCAGTGTGTGCTGTGATTGGTTAGCTGGGCCAGTGTGTGTTGTGATTGGCAGCACTCGGCGCCTGGTCAGGAAATGTCACGCCCCTTACCATAGCCGCCTGCGAGCTTCAGTGTAAATATTGCGTAAAAATCGAATCAATTTGAGCGCGATTTAAACCCGGATGATTGTAACCACTCTAAGTTCGTCTGCCTTGGGGAAAGCTAGCGTGTCTCTGACACAGTGATAACACTCGTTGCCTTCTCTAGTGCAGCTCAACCAGGTCTCGTCCCATTCGTCGATATTTGTGATGTCACAAATCCCGGAAAATATGCGTTGTAGTCCAAACGAGTTGTTCGTTGTAGTTTTTGAAAAGTGATTTCTGTTGAATATCTCCTTTTGAAGTGGACTTTGAGCTTTGTAACTTTTGTAACAGATCTTTTTTATGCTCAAACAGCAACATTACAGACTAACTAAAGTTAAAAAAGTGAAAAAGCATAATAGCACCCCTTTAAAGTCAAAATGAATGGATGTTTGTGACCCATATTACTTCTGAGATATGTTTCAGATAAAACAAAATGTTCACAATATAAAACGTGGCGGGGCTTCATTATTCCCCCCTTTCTTTTAAATATACCTGTTCACAATAAGTTAAAAAGTAAATAGGATCGGTTTTAGTTTCATATTGACATATAAGACTATATGTAAAACAACACTTATAATTTTAATCAATAATTTGATTCCTCTCGTTCCTGCAGCAACGTTCCACTGTGGCGTCCATGATGCACAGACAGGAAACAGTCGAGTGCCTGAAGAAGTTCAACGCAAGAAGGAAACTCAAGGTCTGCTGATGTCTCTTTTAAAAGTCATTATGTCTGCAACTGGAGTCATTCCATCTGTATATGTATCTGTCTGAAACACACCGCTCGATGCCTCTGTTAACGTTCCGATCTTTTTCTTACATATAGGGTGCGATATTGACCACCATGCTGGTGTCGCGCAATTTCTCTGGTAAGTTCACATCAAACTCTTTGCATAGACGCTATCTTGAAAGACAAATCGAAGATATGCTGAACTATTTGACTGCTCGAGTAATCAAAACCACGAATCATTAAATGAATCAGACTTGTATTCTAAAAGCATCAACACAAACTCTTAACAGTGATATTGTAGTATTATTTATATACTATTAAAGTATTCATATTTTGAATTAGCATTTATTTTTATATTTTCTGTTTTAATTTTTTATTTTAGTTTACAATGTAGTAATTTTGTGCTTTTGTCAGTTTAATTAAAAATGTTTTAATGCTTTTTATTTTGTATTTCTATTTTTATTTCAGTTGTTATATTTAAGCTTTTTTTAATTTTAGTTATTTGACAAGGCATTTATCATTTTCATTTAAGTTTAAGGTTTTTTGTCTAATATTTAAGGGTTTTTTTCAGCTTTATTTCAATTACTAATTTTTAATAGTTTTAGTTAACAACACTGTCTCAGAGTTCACCCAAAAATGACGATTTTGATCATTTGCTCACCTTCATGTCATACCAAACCAGTATAGTTCTTTTTCTTCCATATAATGATGCAATTTCCATAAAATGCAAGTGAATGGTGACTGATTACAAAACTTAATGCATACAAATTTTGGCTCCAAACAATAGCTTTATGTGAGAGTAAAAGCTGTTTTCCTAACACAAGCTATTATATGGATTCAAAAGACTTAGAATATAGTGCATAAGTCAAATTAACTGCTGTTATGGTGCTTTTATTGTATTGTTATTGGACCTTGACGGATGGTCACCATTCTCTTTTGTAAAAAAGAGCAGCATCAACATTCTGCCTGACATCTTTTGTGTTCGATGATGGGAAAGAAAATCATACGGTTTGGAACAACATGAGGCTCAGCAAATGCTGACGGGGTTGTCATTTTTGGGTGAACTATCACTTTAAGTGATCTCAAAGTTAAATATTCATGCTATTAATAAATCCTGCTTCATGCTTTAAAGCATCAGACATGAAATCTCACAGCTAAGGGAACCATATGTTATTTTCTTATCTGATTTCAAGAGCAGCTGGACGTTCAAAGTCGGTTGAAAGTGTCCTGACAGATTGATTCAGACACGAGTGGTTCTATAGGAAGTGCGTGATGTTTGTGAGCAGCGGGCCGCTTACGGCTTGTGTGGAGAGAAAGAGAATTCTGGATGTTTGCGGCTGTGCCAAACGCCACATGTGAGAACTGGCGTTTATAATAACATGTGATTTATTTCTGCTGTAATAAAGCATCTGCCCTCTCACATCCCAACACACACACACACACACACACACACACTCTCACTCGCTCGCACTTCAACAGCAGGCTGGTGGGCGGAAGCAACAGTGTTCCTGTTTGAGGAGCGTTTTAGATGCTCTCTCTCTCTTTCTTGCTCTCTCCTTCCGTGGCTCGTCAGCCTCTCATTACTGTAATTACCTCATCCCGCAGGGTGACTCAGTGGTAGAGGAGGCGTGGGAGTCCGAGCGTCACTCCACACACTTGCCCTCATATGTCATTCCCTTATTCTTTATTCGGCCTCTTTTTTAAAAGGGACATTTTCTTTTTTCCTTTTGAAGTTCTGTTAGAATTTAATCAAGATTTATTGTACCTTAAACGGTCATTTAATTTTTCATGACTATTTAATACCCTTTTCAACAATGCCCCATCAAAGTTAAAGAATAGGCATTGACATTTAAAATTTCTTAATGTAATAATTTATATGTATTTATTTAGGTAATTTTGAAAGTGTCCTTTAAGGGGTGTTTGGATAGGGGAAAAAATTTTAATTATCAAAAAAGGACACACTTCACTTGTCCGCCTTGGCTATTTCATGGTAGAAAACATTTAGAAGAGAAATTGACTATGATTCAAAAAAAATAAATACAAAATTTGAATTGCCTTTTTAAATAGAAATTATTTAAATTATATGATTTTTATGCTTTCATATTTTTATATATTTTCTATAATTTTTTATATTTGTATTTTATATGATAAAACACTAAATATATATATTTTTATTTATATAAAATAAAAATAAATATAGAAATATATTATAAAGATTTTATTTTATTTTATTTTTTGTTTTCTACTATGAAATTGCCAAGTCCTGTTATTAAGGCAGTTATAGTCAACAAATATTCCTTGGTACCTATTTTTTGTTAGATTAAAATACAGTTTTGAACTGTTTTGTTAGCATGTATCTTTAACTACACATCATATAAACATCCATTTAGTAAGATACTCCTGTGTTATTTTAGTAACCGCTCTGATGAATACAACTCGTTAGACTGATTCAAACCAATAACTCAGTGAGCCATTTGTTCGTGAATCTGAGTATATTGTTTGTGCTGTATGTTTGTTTGAATAGAGTAAATGTGGGTGAATGTTTTTTTCAGATTGACAAAAAAAAATTTTCAGAAAACAAGTTAATTCATGTATTCTACGATTTAGCCCCTTTAATGTCTAATGAGAGCTTTTTTTCTGTTTGTCCTCTTTGTCACCTATTCGATCAATTTTTCCCTCTGTATTTCTACTGCCTTCTCACAACGTCGAAACTCCAACCCCCAAATAAATGCTTTGCTTTGTTTTGCCGTAGCGTAGATTGGCGCTGGCGAAAGCGGCACGTTCCCCGCTGATAGGAGAGAGTGGCTCCCCGAGGAGAGCTTGACAAGAAAATGAGCCTTTTCTTTATTCCAGAGTGACAGCTGAAACCTTATTATATGATTACGCCACCTACTGTAATGGACTCTCAAAATCCCTCTCTGGTTGCAGACAGCGGCTTGTGTTTCCGGCTAACTCTCTCCACGCTAACAGACTGCTCTATCCTTTGGTTTCTCTCTCAAGGTCTACAGCAGTGGTTCTCAACTGGTGGGGCCGAAACCTAAAATTGAATCTAATGTAAAAGGCAGTGTGTTTGCGGTATTTTGGTGTAAATTCATGTCACTTGATAGAAGTTCAAATTAGACAGGTGGACAAATTAGTCAACATGGACAGTTTGCGTATCACCTGCTCTGAGTTTCAGAGTACGTTTAGAGTTGACAAAAACAACCAAATCCAACCCAGTTTAGTTTAGCAGGTTCACCAAAAACATTCTTTGGCAACTCAGGGGTTAATTTAGAGTTCATGATTAACTCTAGAGCTTGTGCACCTGAAAGTGTGACATCAGCGGCGGACAGCCAATCACACGAAATGTGGAGAGCCTTAGTTTGATTCATTTCTCATGAGAGAGTCAGCACAATTAATTTCCCTGCTAAAGCATGAAAGAGATCATTGAAAAATATAATACATTGCAGCGGCAACAATACTACAGCGAGAATAAAAGTTACGCCTTCTTTCTTTGCGTGAACATTTGGGCGGCGTTATGCAAATCTTCCCACATAGTGAGGTAGATATGTGGGGGCGTGTTAGAACGAGCCGTTTTAGGTAGGTGTGGCTAACTCTGAACTTTTATAAAGAATATCTCTTTGGATTTGAGACTTTAGGCTTTGCAACTTTACAGATCTTCTTTATGCACCAAGAGCTGGTAACACTCCAAAGAGAAAGGAAAAAAGGAAATCGCATCATATGACCCCTTTAAACATTAACGTTAATAACTATACATGAATGCCTGTTTCCATATATATAAATTTTTATCTTGTTTCAAGCATTGTTTGATTTATGCTTAAAAAAACAGGAAAATCTAAATGATCTTAATATCTAATGCAATTTAAGTATAAATTGAACTTTTTTTATCGATATTTATTAGCTATTAATTTGCATCATATAAAAACAAAAGTCTATGCTATATCTTCTTTTAGTTAGATAACTGTGTGTGTGTGTGTGTGTGTGTGTGTGTGTTTACACTCTTCTGCATGTGCACCAGCATTGCGTGTGCATGGCAGTCACTAACCCCTCACTCCTGGACGGGAAGTTTTGATTATATTTCGTGATTAATTCTACCAGGTTTCAGTGTGGGCCGCACCGTGCATATGCTAAAGCGTGCCATGCTCCTGTGGTGATGCGTGTGCGGACATGCAATCCGCGTGTAGTGTTTTAGACAACTGTAATCCTCTGGATGAGGGGCGGGAGGGATTTCCCCGGCTTGCTCGGACGATTGTGACATGTTTGGCCGAGCACCATTAGCGCTCCTGTAATGTTGACTGTTGCTCCCATCCCAGCATGCTGATGTTTGCGTTTCCTCTCTCCCCGTCTACAGCAGCCAAGAGCCTGCTCAACAAGAAGGCCGATGTCAAGGTAAGCCCCCATTAATTCCTTTTTCGTCTTCCCTTTCTCATACCTTTTTCTCTTTCTGTTCACATTCGCCAAGCACAGTTTCCGATAGAGGAGGGATTCCTGAACGTGTCTTGTCCTTTAGTTGTTGGAAGTTCTGGCATCCACTGTGTGTCTGATCTGAAGCAGATCTGTGTGTTTGCAGTGTTTGTCTCCATGTTCTGTCCTTTCTAGCAGTGTGTGTTTGTCTATTTTGTGAGATTAGATTCATCGGTTCTTCACTAAGTAAGCTGGACAGTGAGCTGGTGGTGGGCGGTATAGTAATCTTATTTCATAATATGAATAATATTATATTACGGTCACAATGTATATCACAATATAGCCATTTTTTCCCAAATTCAATCCAAAAATGTTTTATGTATTATATAACAACATACTAATACCTCTTTTTGGATTATTCAGTGAATAAAATGGTTTACAAGGAATCTAATTTAGTTTTTTGCAACTCAATGAATGGAGTTTTGTAAAAGATTATGAAACCGTTTAAACCAGTATTACATATAAATATGATTGGATGAGCCATACATGGTGTAAAATAACCTTTATAGGAACAACTGTGACTATTTGTGATGCTGCAACTAGTGTTATTTTAGTATAATTTATAGGCTATCATTGCATTTATAAATGTTGAATTAGATTATATATTTATTTTTATTTATAAGCTATCATAGTATTTATTTATTTTATTTTTTAAATATGATTTTTATATTTTAGTTAGAATTTTAGTAATTTTGTGCTTTTGTCGTTCATATTTGTTTTTGTCTTTCTAAATATTTATATTTAGCTTTTTTTGTTTGTTTTATAAATTTTAGTACTTTGACTAACTTATTTTATTTTTAATTTCTAATTTTCATTTAATAGTTTTTTATGTTTCTGTTACGTTTAGTTTATTTTTTAGTTTTAGAAATTTACAATTACAATTATTTAATTAATTTCTCATTTTAATTCAATATGACTTTTTCTTTAAAAAATATTTCTGTTTAGTTCTAGTGTATTTTTAGTTTTAAGTTTTAGTAATTTTAGTACTTCAGCTTTTTCAGTTAGTTGCCAAGGCATTTCGAATTTTTTTTCTGTTTTTCAAATTCAAGCTTGGACCAACAAAAACTCTGGTTGCAACCTACAATTACACAAGTCAGATTTTTTAAAAATCGCACCACAGTTTAGCAAAATCTTTACTAGTTGACCCATTCCTGCCGTCACTGCGTCATACCGCCCAGCCCTAGTATAAGCTTGTGTGCTCAACCTTTATCTTTCTTTAATTTCTGATCTGCATCTTATCTCATTATTATCTCTATATAGTTTACCCATAGTGCCTCAGTCATTGCATTCAGAGCATTCCGGCGCTCGGTTCGGCCCGGCGTGCGTCACGCGGCATCAGGTGAACGCGCACAGATGTTGACCTCTGACCCGTAATGAGCTGTTAGAGAAAGTGCACTTGCAGGTTCATTTGTTCTGATAACATATAATCCTCTCAGACAGAGTAAAAAGGTCGGCTTTCACCTCTTAGAATTAGAAATGAAACTGTTGACTGCTCTCTATTAGGGATTGGATATGGAGTCTAATCTAGAGAATAATCCCCTCCACTCTGAGTATTAATCATACGTTACGTAATCTTTTAGCGTGCAAGTTTTTATGAGGTCAACGCTAAAAAGCACTCCAAGGAAAATCCTGCGATTCTGTCCTGCGCTGATGCCGCCACAGTGACAGCTTTTGCACCTTTATTTCTGAGAGTGTAGAAGGATCTCGCTTCACAGCCTCTTCACATTTCTTTCTCTTTCTGGCCATCAATTTTAGTTTTTAGGTGCACTGTCTCTTTAAATTGGATGTTAGGAAAAAACACATTATATGTCGAGTAGAAGTTTTAGTACTTTTGTACCATCATAGAAAGATTAAAAAATCTGATATGATATGCTTCCAGTATTGAATTGCACAAAAACACCAATATTGGCATATACACTACCTTTCAAAAGTTTGGGGCCGGTAAGATGTTTAATGTTTTTGAAAAACATCTCCTATGATTCACCAAAGCTGCGTTTATTTAATCAAAAATACAATGTTATTTAAGTATCATTGAGATACTATTATAGTTTTTATTAATATTTAGAAACATTTTTGTTTTTATTTTAGTTAAAAAAAATTAAATTTTCTGTAGTTTGTGTATATATATATATATATATATATATATATATACAGTGTATATATATATATATAGAGTGTATATATATATATATATATATATATACAGTGTATATATATATATATATATATACAGTATATATATATATATATATATAGGCCTATGTATGTATGTGTATATATATATGTATATACAGTATATGTGTGTATATATATATACACATACATACAACTTTTTTTTTATTAATAATTGTTTTTCCAGTTTTATTTATTTTAGTACATCAATTTAAACTGAATTTAAATTTGAAATGTTGCCTTGGCCACTAGCTGAAATAATAAAAAATAGCTAAAAAAGTATTTGGTAACATTATAAATGCAAATACTGTCACTCTTGATCAGTTTAATGCATTTCTGCTGATGTACTGTATTTCTTAAAAAAAATAAAATAAATAAAAAATCTTACTGACCCCAGAGTTTTCAACAGTGTAGTGACCAAGTGGCTTTCTCTCGTGAACCCAACACGGAAGTGACTTAAACTTTAATTCGTCAACTGGCCGCTAGAGGCTGGCTGCAAAAAGGGAGTCAATCCCATAGACTCCCCATGTTAAAATGCCCAACTTCACAGCAGAAAAAAACATGTTTTCAGCCTGGTTCAAAACATTATTTTGGTCTATATAGCTAATTTTGCCCTTCATGACAACTGTGAGGGGGGTGGATTTTTTTTATAGCTCATCCGTTTAAAGGCTGGCTGCAAAAAGGAAGTCAATCCCATAGACTCCCCATGTTAAAATGCCCAACTTCACAGCAGAAAAAAACATGTTTTCAGCCTGGTTCAAAACATTATTTTGGTCTATATAGCTAATTTTGCCCTTCATGACAACTGTGAGGGGGGTGGATTTTTTTTTATAGCTCATCCGTTTAAATTATATTAAGTCTTAAAGTTCTGCATAATTAAGGGAGTGGCCACTTGAGTGACAGGTGGATTGCCACCACCGTCGCGCTAGGTGGGCGTGGTTTCAGCAACTAGCTCCCGCTTTTGCCCATTTTCGATTATCTGGGAGTTACGCGCTGCCAAGATGGCGATGGCCAGCTCCATATTGTATTTTCTCTCTGTATCTGACTGCAGTTGAGTCTACCCACATCAGCATTTCAGTCAGACTATGTTCTCTTCCTCAGCTGAGTTCACTTCTTGTTAGCCGCCGAGAGGATCTCCTCCACAAGTTCACTCAAAACTGCACATACGGTGGGAATCGTAAATTTTTCTGGCACTCTCATTAGCCGCTCAGGCAGGTGTGATCTTTCATCGCCCCTTTGATTGTCAGCCACACTAATGAGGCACTTTTTTGTCTCTCATCGCCAATCATTCCATGATTCCTCCACCCACGCCTCGCTCCGGATCCACTATATCCATCCCGATCCAGAGTGTGAGTGTTCCCTAGAGCAGCGGCGGGAGAGAATGTAGCTCTCGCTCCAGGAATAGCTGGCGGTTTGAACCCAGGGAGCCGGGAGACAGAAATAGATGCTTCCACTGCGCCTCACTCATTGCTTAGCAACTGGCTCGCCACACTCCTTCATTCTGACATTTCCCTCTTTTTTTCTACGCTCCAGTATTCTCACTGTCCTGCCTTTTGTGCTGCAGTGTGATGAAGAGCATCACGGCAGGAGGAATTGTGAGGGGACGCGTGGATGAGTGTGATTTAACTCTAGCAGACCCTCACAAACACAAGCTCAGGGCGAAAGAAACAACAGCTGAATAAAGGGACAGGAAGTAGAATTGGAATGACAGGAAGAGGAGTTTACTGAATTGTAATTTAAAGAAATGTAACTTCTCTGTCTCTACCAACCTATCTATCTACCATTTTATCTGTCTGTTGTTCTATCAACATCTATCATTGTATATGTTGATTTATTGATCTATCTCTTGATCTTTCATTCAATCATTCTATTGCTTTGTCTGTCATTCTATCTATCGTTTGTCGTTCTTCCTGTGTTTATTCATTCGGTTATTCATTCTGTCGTTCTTTCCGTCTGTCTGTCTATCTATCTATATATAGCTTGATTAGACATTAGACAAAACCTAAACTTTTTTCTTCCTCTGAAAGTAATTTCGTAACTGTAGAGATACAGGAACAGTCCTGTCAATCCCTGCACTGACTCAATCCCATCAGCAGCTGTGTGTGTGTGTGTGTGTTTACAATAATGTATTAAGATATCTGAGAAGAGAAGGACTTAAAGACTGTTCTGTACGTTAAATCACATCAAGACTCTTTTATCCACCTGACAAACTCACTTTCTTGCCAAAAACCCACACGCGCACCTTCTCTCAACCCTCCTGCCTCTCATACATCTGTGCCATTCTGTGTTTAATGTTCATCTCAGCCTTCATCATAACATGTATTTAACTCTCTCATTCCATCCCTCCATCACCCCCTTTCCACCAAGAAACGGAAATCCAGCTCCACCGTTCAGTACATGGTGAGAATGATGTTTAATCCTAATCTCTTTATCCCTCCATCCCTTTCTCATCGCACTCTTGTTTATCCATTCATTCATTTGCTCATCCTGTTGGGCTTTTATGTCATTTAATGCACAATGTCGAATAAATCTACTCTTCCTCTGTAATGATCGATATTGATTCTTCTCTTGCTCAAATGTCAGGCGGTTGGTTTAAAGGGTCAGATGGCACTAAATGACTCCTCAGACGCAGGTGAGGGTCGTAGTGTTTTGGGATTGACGTTATTAGGGTTGTAGCGAGTCAGTGTTGACTGTTGTTGTGTGTGTTTTAGACTGTGGTACAGAATGTCTTTTGTGTTGGGCTTTTCGTTTTTGCTTCCTTGTGTCTGTCTGCTGTTGTCTGTGAATGTACTCAATGCAGATCCATAAGGACTCTCCTCTAGTTGTGCTTTCCTACTGTGACTTTCTCTAAGAAAACAATTGACCAAGCACGGGTTTTCTGAACTGTTTGCTTTTTATATTTTGTTTGCTTTTATTCAGCCTGTTGGGGAAAAAAGATAGCATCTTAAGATGTAAAAGGTGTTTTTTGCTGGTCCTGGGTGATCTACTAGCTTTTTAACCAGCTTTATCAACACGGCCTACCATGTCAACTTTATCCTAACCATCTGGATTAGACTAGCTTGGACCACATAGAAACCATGTAAAACCAGCTATCAGACACTGGTTTTAACTGGATTTTCCAGCAGTGCAATGCAGTACATTTTCATTATTTAAAAAAACGTTGAATGTTAAAAAAGCGAACCTCACAAAATTTTCAAAGTTCTTAAAAAAACCATGTAAAACCAAGACATTTATATCAATACTGTAATGCAGTACAATATAAATTATTACGTTTTTGTACACCTTGGTAATTAATTTTTTTTTACAACGTGTATAATTTTTACATACAATTTTTGATGATAATCTAATGATAATCACAATTTGAAAATTATGGGAAGTACAAAAACTAAGTTTCATCTATTCTGTTGGTCTAGCGTTCCATCTATTGTTCTATCCGTTGTTCTATTATTAAAATTAATAATTAATGAATCAGTTACTTAACAATATTTATTATTAAATTAATATATAAATTAAAAAATATATATTTTGTTGGTCTATCGTTCCCTTTAATAATTAATGAATCTGTTACTTAATAATATTAATTATTCAATTAATAAATCAATTATTTAAAAAATATTAAAACTGAAAACATCCAGATACATTATGGTAATCAGACATTTTCGGGGATTTGTGCTAAGTTGTCAAATAATTTGATTGCTCCCAACAATAAGCCTAATTTTCTTAAAATTTCTTGTTTTTCTTTGTAATTTTGGACTATTGTGTGTTCAGATGAAACACAGTCCTCTCTCACTGCCAAACACGTTATCACCTCCTGCTCTCTCTCTCTGTTTCTCTCTTTCTCACCCTTAAACACCCACTTGACACCCTTTAACACTGTTTTGTGTTCTGCACAGCCGCAGTCAAACAGTGCCAAAAACAGCATAGTCACCAGTCCCAAAGGAAACGTCCCTTCTCCTGCTCTGGTATTTACCTCCTTGTTCCTCTCTGTTCTCTCTCGCTCCATCTTCTCGTCCGACTCGTCTGTCACTTTGGCTTTCTTCTCCTGTCTCACACGTGTCTGTCTGTGTCAGCGTCTGGCGCGTCTCTGGCCACCTGTCGTAGACGCTGTGTGTCTGTCAGCGACTTGAATCCAAGCGCATCTTCATCTCTGTCATCGAAACAATGTCAATGTTAGGGTGGATGATTTTTATAATCCAGATTTGAAGAATTGTGATGCTTTGAGCATCAGTTAGCTTTGTTTTCACAAAGATGTGTGCTGAGTGTGTGCATGAACATTGTGATTTTTCATTGTTTGGATCAATGGCAGACCAACCAAACTTAGATGTTGGCTCTATGTGTTTCGACTATTTTTGAATCTCATTATGACCGTTATAATGTTTCAGTAAATATGTGTGTTTGTGTGTACGTCTCTGTGCATTTTTGCTTCTTTTTATATAACCTAATGCTGTAAAACCTGATGTACAGACATTATTTATTTTGATTATTTCTGTTATTGTAATTAATCAGGTGTGATGTAAACCAGTGCAATATCATCTAATAAAACCCAGATTTCTTATTGTTAGTTCAAATTTGTTTGAAATAACCGTTCAGAACCTCACAGTTACATTGTTTTATGATTAGATATTGCTCAAGCATTGGCCACTTGAGTCACATTTACAATCTCATTGCATTAGATTGAAAAATTAATTTTATTACTTTGTTTAACTTAAATTATTATTTTATTTAGTTTTTTTATTTTGGATTTTAGTTTAGTTTAGTTTAGTAACTTAATGCAGGGATTTCCAAACTATTTGTCAGCTGATCTAAAATATTTAGTTGATAACTACCCTGAGATTTTAAGTTAATATTTCTATGATTTAACAAAACTTCAAAAGAAGTTTCTATGATTTAACAAAAAAGTTCACAGTTCTCTAACATCAGTTAATAATCACATGATGATTTTGTCTTTTTTAGTACATGTTATTTTTAGAATTATTTAAATTTTTTGTGATTTAATTGATTAGCTTTTCATAAACTCACAAAGTTTCCTTATGGATCCCAGTTTGGGAAACCCTGCCTGATCTAATGCAATGATATTCAGACATATTTTTAAGTGCAACTTAAGTGAATTCAGTTACATTTTTTGACCATTTTGGATGCTTCAGCTGCAGGTTTTCAATATTTTATATTGTTTAAAGAGCAGAACTTCTCTTGAGCTTAAAAAGTATTGTGTTAAAACACATTGTTGTGTTAACACATCGTTAGTAAGAACTATTTTGATATTCTGATAGAGATAATCACATTTTGTTTAGCACATTTCACAGTCCTTTAAGCTTATACCCTGAAACAATATCTTTGTGATTTCTATGCATTTTGTTTTTAAATGAAAGCACTTAGTATTCAAAAGTTCTTTAAAAAGTTGGGATTAGATGCGTTCACATCTTTGGACTGGCTTCAAATGTTGGGTTTTGGCCTTTGGTTGTCCTCTGCTTTTAACCAGAGCGACTAATAACCTCCATCGACTTCCTCTTCCTCTCTCTCTCTCTCTGAGACTGCTCTCTCTCCATCTCTCTTTTTTTTTTTTGACTAACACTTGTTTTATTCTTGCCATCTCTTCACCTCCATCTCATTTTGCTCCTGTTTTTTCCTCACTATCTTGCTGTCTCCTCCTCTTCCTCTTCTCTCTCTTTCTCTTTAGGAGCCTCAGACCACTGTTATCCATAACCCAGTGGATGGGATCAAGGTACATCCTTCTGCACCTCCCTCCGCATCCTCTTCTCTTTCATCCTCCACTTTTCTCTCCTCCTCTCTCTGCATCTGTCGTCTGCTGTCAGTCTCTTGATTCTGTGGTGCGAGTGAGGATGTTGTTTTGGGATTGTGAGTGAGCGTGTAGTCGCATTAGGATGGAAAAGTGTTCGAGTAAGTGTGTGGTGTTTGGTACAGTGGTCAGTGTTATTTGTTGCAGGTAAAACAATGACACAATGTTCTTTTGACCCTTAGTTAGTCAATACACACTAAGCAGAAATTAGTTGAACTTCAACATGAGAGCGCTTTACTTGCAAAATGAAACCGTTTAGTCAACAAGAAAAAAATTGCACTGGTTTTCAAAGGTTTGGGGTTGGTAAGATTTTTTTATGTTTTTGAAAAAAGTCTCATGCTCACTAAAGCTGCACTAAAAGAAACAGTAAAAAAAATACAGTAAAAATAGTACAATTACGAAATATCATTACAATTTGATGTTAAAATATAACACAATATTTTAAAATATAATTTATTTCTGTGAGGCAAAGCTGGATTTTCAGCATCATTCCTCCAGTCTTCAGAAATCATTCTAGTATTCTGATTTGCTTATTATTGTCCATTTTGAAAACCGTTGCTGTGCATAATATTTTTGTGGAAACTGACACATTTTTTTTCTTCCTGACCCCAAACTTTTGAACAGTAGTGTAAACCAGGACTTTTATGCACTGAAAATGAACACACCTTTAAGCTCCACCCCCTTCGGTTACTGTTGCTAACTTGATTGTGAGAAAAATTAGCTCATAAATTGGTAAAAATTGTTTGGATATTGTTCTAATGTGGGTTGGAATGGTGTGACATTGCAAAGCATTTTATCTGCCACTTTTTTTTTTTTTTAAGAAATTGTTAAATTAGGCCATAAACATAATAATAATAAAAAAAAAAAATAAAGATGTGTGCTGAGTGTGTGCATGAACATTGTGATTTTTCATTGTTTGGATCAATGGCAGACCAAACAAACTTAGATGTTGGCTCTATGTGTTTCGACTATTTTTGAATCTCATTATGACCGTTATAATGTTTCAGTAAATATGTGTGTTTGTGTGTACGTCTCTGTGCATTTTTGCTTCTTTTTATATAACCTAATGCTGTAAAACCTGATGTACAGACATTATTTATTTTGATTATTTCTGTTATTGTAATTAATCAGGTGTGATGTAAACCAGTGCAATATCATCTAATAAAACCCAGATTTCTTATTGTTAGTTCAAATTTGTTTGAAATAACCGTTCAGAACCTCACAGTTACATTGTTTTATGATTAGATATTGCTCAAGCATTGGCCACTTGAGTCACATTTACAATCTCATTGCATTAGATTGAAAAATTAATTTTATTACTTTGTTTAACTTAAATTATTATTTTATTTAGTTTTTTTATTTTGGATTTTAGTTTAGTTTAGTTTAGTAACTTAATGCAGGGATTTCCAAACTATTTGTCAGCTGATCTAAAATATTTAGTTGATAACTACCCTGAGATTTTAAGTTAATATTTCTATGATTTAACAAAACTTCAAAAGAAGTTTCTATGATTTAACAAAAAAGTTCACAGTTCTCTAACATCAGTTAATAATCACATGATGATTTTGTCTTTTTTAGTACATGTTATTTTTAGAATTATTTAAATTTTTTGTGATTTAATTGATTAGCTTTTCATAAACTCACAAAGTTTCCTTATGGATCCCAGTTTGGGAAACCCTGCCTGATCTAATGCAATGATATTCAGACATATTTTTAAGTGCAACTTAAGTGAATTCAGTTACATTTTTTGACCATTTTGGATGCTTCAGCTGCAGGTTTTCAATATTTTATATTGTTTAAAGAGCAGAACTTCTCTTGAGCTTAAAAAGTATTGTGTTAAAACACATTGTTGTGTTAACACATCGTTAGTAAGAACTATTTTGATATTCTGATAGAGATAATCACATTTTGTTTAGCACATTTCACAGTCCTTTAAGCTTATACCCTGAAACAATATCTTTGTGATTTCTATGCATTTTGTTTTTAAATGAAAGCACTTAGTATTCAAAAGTTCTTTAAAAAGTTGGGATTAGATGCGTTCACATCTTTGGACTGGCTTCAAATGTTGGGTTTTGGCCTTTGGTTGTCCTCTGCTTTTAACCAGAGCGACTAATAACCTCCATCGACTTCCTCTTCCTCTCTCTCTCTCTCTGAGACTGCTCTCTCTCCATCTCTCTTTTTTTTTTTTGACTAACACTTGTTTTTTTTTTGCCATTTCTTCACCTCCATCTCATTTTGCTCCTGTTTTTTCCTCACTATCTTGCTGTCTCCTCCTCTTCCTCTTCTCTCTCTTTCTCTTTAGGAGCCTCAGACCACTGTTATCCATAACCCAGTGGATGGGATCAAGGTACATCCTTCTGCACCTCCCTCCGCATCCTCTTCTCTTTCATCCTCCACTTTTCTCTCCTCCTCTCTCTGCATCTGTCGTCTGCTGTCAGTCTCTTGATTCTGTGGTGCGAGTGAGGATGTTGTTTTGGGATTGTGAGTGAGCGTGTAGTCGCATTAGGATGGAAAAGTGTTCGAGTAAGTGTGTGGTGTTTGGTACAGTGGTCAGTGTTATTTGTTGCAGGTAAAACAATGACACAATGTTCTTTTGACCCTTAGTTAGTCAATACACACTAAGCAGAAATTAGTTGAACTTCAACATGAGAGCGCTTTACTTGCAAAATGAAACCGTTTAGTCAACAAGAAAAAAATTGCACTGGTTTTCAAAGGTTTGGGGTTGGTAAGATTTTTTTATGTTTTTGAAAAAAGTCTCATGCTCACTAAAGCTGCACTAAAAGAAACAGTAAAAAAAATACAGTAAAAATAGTACAATTACGAAATATCATTACAATTTGATGTTAAAATATAACACAATATTTTAAAATATAATTTATTTCTGTGAGGCAAAGCTGGATTTTCAGCATCATTCCTCCAGTCTTCAGAAATCATTCTAGTATTCTGATTTGCTTATTATTGTCCATTTTGAAAACCGTTGCTGTGCATAATATTTTTGTGGAAACTGACACATTTTTTTTCTTCCTGACCCCAAACTTTTGAACAGTAGTGTAAACCAGGACTTTTATGCACTGAAAATGAACACACCTTTAAGCTCCACCCCCTTCGGTTACTGTTGCTAACTTGATTGTGAGAAAAATTAGCTCATAAATTGGTAAAAATTGTTTGGATATTGTTCTAATGTGGGTTGGAATGGTGTGACATTGCAAAGCATTTTATCTGCCACTTTTTTTTTTTTTTTAAGAAATTGTTAAATTATGCCATAAACATAATAATAATAAAAAAAACATATTGTTGGATAATTTTCATTAAATTGTGTTTGAAACTAACCATAGCTTGTCCGAGAAAAATAGAATGATAAAAAATGTGTCTCCTAAATGCAATGTAAGTTGCTTTGGATAAAAGCATCTCCCAAATATGCTTTTTTTTTTTTTTAAGAAATTGTTAAATTATGCCATAAACATAATAATAATAAAAAAAACATATTGTTGGATAATTTTCATTAAATTGTGTTTGAAACTAACCATAGCTTGTCCGAGAAAAATAGAATGATAAAAAATGTGTCTCCTAAATGCAATGTAAGTTGCTTTGGATAAAAGCATCTCCCAAATATGTAAATTAGAAAATGGCACATGGCAACAGTTACTAAGGTAGGATTGGTCAGTAAGGCGGAGCTTAGCAACAAGTCAGTTGATTGGATCATGAAGTCTGCTGAAAAGGAAAGGGGATTTATTTCCATCAAATAGATAGATTTTTATTATTATTATTAATATTACATGTTGACTTTCAAGGGTGTGATTTAAGAGTCATTATTAATTAAAAAATATTATTTAGCTATTTTCATTGCTAAATAAAATTATTATATTAAACTAAGGGTTATTATAGTTTACTAAAACTAAAAATGAAACTAAAAAAAACAAACATTTTCATTACTTGAAATAAAATAAACATTACCTAAAATAAAATAAAAGTATTGAGATGAAATTTTGTTATTAACCAAATACTTATTTTCCACCATAATTTGCAAATAAATTCTTTAAAAATCCTACAATGTGATTTTCTGGATTTTTTTTTCTCATTTTGTCTCTCATAGTTGAGGTATACCTATGACGAAAATTACAGGCCTCTCTCATCTTTTTAAGTGGGAGAACTTGCACAATTGGTGGCTGACTAAATACTTTTTTTCCCCACTGTATTTCAGCTAGTTGTCAAGGCAACACTTCTCATTTTAATTTAGTTTCACTTGATGTACCAAAATAACAATCACTAAAACTGAAAAAAGCCTACTTAAAATGACCGAAACACGCAACAAAATGACTAAAACTAACTGAAATATTTCATACTGATCATTTTCGTTTCTGCCTTATTAAAGACCACTATTTGAAATCATCCAATCAGACTCTCTCATTTTTACCAAAAATGTTTCCTATCCTGCCTCCATAATGCTCCTCTCCCTCTCTGGCCGCCCGTCCCCCATATGCATGGCCACAGCTGGCTGAAGTCCGCTTGTCTGCAGCTCAGACCCTCAAGGTGCCTTAACTCGCCCACGGGAACCTGTAGAGAGAAATACAAGCAGACGGGGGCTCAGTCATTTGCATTTGTAATACGTCAGAAGCTAAATGTGAGCTATTAAATGCCTCTGTGTGTGTGGGTGGTTACATGCATATGCAGAGGAGAGGGTGCAGGCGGCTGCAGCTGCGTTCTCAATGCTGCCATCTGGGAAAGAGACGTGGAGATGCACAACACAGGAGCTGGGTTTCATTGAATGGCTGTGTTATAGCCTCACCAGGTGGCTGAGCCTGAGATTAAACCTTTGCCCGCGACTGTCTACACTACTGTTGGCAGTGTCAGTCACTTGAAGTAGAATATGTATGACTTCATTTGTGGTGATGATTATCCCATCTGTCTCAGGGGTAGTACTGGTCGTGCTTTATTGGAGTTAGTCGCTGTTTGTTGAATAAATGTGTGTGTGTGTGTTAGTGAAGGTGTGAGATCGGACAATGATTGCTTTTGTCCGTCTTGCAGGAATCTTCAGACAGCAGTAACACCACCATTGAGGATGAAGATGTCAAAGGTGAGCGGATTCTGTTTTTGTTGCATTTTTTTTTTTAAACAATATGATCTGTGGTGATTTTACCAAGGACTTTCCAGTTCTGTAGACATCACCAAGCCCTATAAGGACACTTTTCACAATCCAGTCAATTGCTGATGGATAAAATCAAATGCATTTTTTTTCTACGTCCTGTGTCACTTGGAAATACAGTATCGTTCAAAAGTTTAATGGCAGTATGATTTTTTAAAAATAAATTAATATTTTTATTCATTGCATTAAATCGATCAAAAGTGACTGAAAAATAATGTATAATGTTACAAAAGATTTCAAATAAATGCTGTTCTTTTCAACTTTCTATTCACCAAAGAATCCTTAAAGAAAATGTCTCATGGATTCCACAAACATATGAAGCAGCACAACCGTTTTCAACATTGATAAAAATCAGAAATGTTTCTTGAGCAGCAAATCGGCATGTTAGAATAATTTCTGAAGGATCATGTGACACTGAAGACTGGAGTAATGATGCTGAAAATTCAGCTTTGATCACAGAAATAAATTACATTTTAAAATATAAAAATAGTTATTTTAAATTCTTAAATAATTGTACATTTTTGATCAAATAGATGCAGCCTTGGTGAGCATAAGAGACCTCGTTCAAAGACATTAAAGGGGTCATGAACTGAGAAATCAAAAATTCCTTGATCTTTTGACATTGTACTGTGAAAACACCCTGTAAGTTTCAGAACTCGAAACTTTCTTGTTAGTCTAAAAGCAGCTTATACTGAAGAAAACAGGACAGAAAATAGCCTATTACGTCTAAATTGTTTTTTTGATGTAAAAATCTTGATAACATAATAATTGGACCTCAGTGAACAGTATAAAATAATAAAAATAGGCAGTTCATGACCCCTTTAAAAATCTTACCAACCCCAAACTTCTGAACAGTAGTGTTTATTGTGTAATGTAATTTGCACAGTGCTGTCTCTGGTCTTTGTGCTTTATTAACCATTAGTGCTGTGGTGGTGTTATTAAAGCTTAAGGTTTCTAACAGGAAGACCACTGGAGTTCACAAGTTGCTACAGGTTAACTTAAAGGTGCTGTATGTAATTTTTTGACTGAACTAAAGCATAAAAATAGCATATGTTTGCAGATACTACTGCAATATCCATTTCAAACGTGAGCTATCAATATTACATACTGGATAGTTCACCCCAAAACGAAAATTCAGTCATTTGCTCACCCTCGTGTCATTCCAAACGGTTATGACTTTCTTTCTTCTGTGGAATACAAAGGATATTTTGAAGAATGTGGGTAACCAAACATTTTTGGTTCTGATTGACTTTTTGTATGACGCAAAAGAAGACATTTTGAAGAATGCTGGTAACCAGTTTTGGTTCATTGTATGATCAAAAAATACAGTGGAAGTCAATGGGAACCAGTTTGGTTACCAGTATTCTTCAAAATATCTTATTTTGCCTTCAGCAGAGGGTGTGTAAATGATGACAGAATTTTTACTTTTGGGTGATCTTGCCCTTTAACCACTAATAAGTATGGATAAAAGACTGCAGTATACCTTTAACTGAGAAGTAAATTCAAGTGCCGTGAAAGCATGGTTTTCCTGAAGCCTAGCTGGAAAGGGTTTTTATCACCATGGGAATACCAATAGAGCACTTTCTCTTACTGATCAACTCCCTGCTGTTGTTGCGTGCGCTGCCCAGCTAGGGCTGTTAATGGAATGGCATGCACACATCACTTTGAGACGCATAAGTTTGGATGAATCTCTGTCATCTTGCTCCCGCCATCGGTCATCATTACCCCCTCACCCTCATGTGTAAACAGCCACCAAGCTGACCGACATCCTGGGCTGCGCCCGTAGGGGCTCGGGACCCTCGGCAGTGCCTGATAGTGAAGCAGCTGCCCACTCCACACAATCCCCTCCACAGACCCCCATCATGCAGAGTGAGTATAGCGCCCCCTGCAGACCTAAGCACAGACGCTCATGCACAGGGGCCGTGAACATTTTTGGCTAGCACATTATGTAGTTTTATTGTTTTTGTCATTAAAGTAATTAGTTTTTGACAATGAATTATTTTTAGTATTTTAATCCATTTTAATTGACTTATTAATTTGAATAACTATTAATAACAGTATATTTTAATTATTAACTTTAATATTAAAGTAACTTAATTAAATAATGAATTCAAATAATTTCTTGAAATGTTTTTGTGATAAGTTTGTAAAAATTGTTAATGTTAACAATTGAATAATTAATATTAATTATCTGTTTTAATTTAATTATTTAAAATTTGTAAAAGTTTTATATTTTATATATTTTTTATTTTAAAGTTAAAGCAACTTAATTTAACAATAATAATATTAATAATATATTTTAATTGACTTTATTACTAATTTAATATTTTATTTTTAAATGTAAGTTTTAAATGAAGTAACTTAAAGGCACAATGTCATTTTTTGCCACTAGAGGGTGCGTATTCAAAACAAACATAGAAATAAAGGCGTAGTTTGATGACGCCCTGACTGAGTGTGGAATCATGGGAGTTGTCGTCTTCATTCCCACAGCCGAAGCAATCCGATGGGACTCGGATTCATGTTCAAATCATGTTCATGGATGAGCTAATGTATTAAAGATTTATTAACGTCGTAGTATAAAGCAGGGTGAGGCTGAAAGCCGTCGAAGCAAAACAAGGCCACTGAACGAGCGCAACACACGGCTCAAAAGCAGCGGAACTTTCAGTATGCTACAGTCGACCGCTTCCGTTCCTTCTGGAAAGCTGCGGAAGTAAGCAGCGCTGTTTTATCATACTAGATACATTTGAACGTTCTGTTATAATGCTACTCTGTGCGGTCGTCACCTGTCTAATAATATGCATAGCATATTAAAGCGTATTTGGTGTTTCCATGTTTTCGGAAATCGAGGTGTTATGACGTCATTGGCAGGCGACACAATGACACTATGGACACGGTCCGTGTCGCTAGTTAAAATTGCTTATTTCTCTGGATTTAAACATTCTTCGAGAAACACAAGTCAGCAAAATATATAACACTGTTCTAGTGGTTTTTGGATATTTTAATAAAAAAATCGTACATATTGTGCCTTTAATAGAATAAGTTAATAATGTCCTGAAATACGTTTGGGTAACACTTTATTTTAAGGTGTCCTTATTACACATGTTAGTACTTACTATTATAATCACAGTTATTTATGCATAATTACATGCAAGTAACCCTAAGCCAAACCCTAATCCTAACCCTAACCATAAGTACATGTAGTTAATTCATATTACTCTTAAATGCATAATTACTTAAATAGTACATAGTACTTAAATGCATAATTACACCATAAGTGTAGGAGGACTCCTTAAAATAAAGTGTAACCTACGTTTGTCATTAAAGTAATTACTTTGTAATATATATTCATTTTAATGATTTAATAATTAATAATTCAGTTTATTAAATTAAACGAATAATTCGCTAATTATTAATTAACAAATTAGCATAATAATTTAGTTTCATATTTAATCATATTAGCTATGAATTTATTAATGTAATATTTAATTCATTAAAGAATTAAACGGATCAATTTAATAATTAAATAATTATTAAGCTGTGGGCGACAGTGCTTACTTTGCAATTTGGACAATGTAGTATGCTGTTTACCAAGTTTCCAATAATGGGAGTTAATAAGATATAATGAGTAGTATTCAGCTAGTCATGGGATATATTAAACTGTATGATATTAATATGTCAGGCCCCATGAGCCGACCCCCTCCATGTCTATTAAAACGGCTTTTTCTAGGCCACTGATAAAATTATTAAAGTGAATGTACATGATGTACTGTTACTCATGTCCTTAGGTGTTTAACAGGTAAAACATGCACTTTTAATGTAGGACCCTGTTCATGTGCCGTCTGTTGGCCAAAGTGTTGACCTTTGACCCTTGTTATTGATGCATATCCTGTTCAATCAGACATGACTGCCCCATGCATATTGTTATTTGTCTGATGTTGCTGCCTTTTCATCTCTTCACATGTTGTCCATCTCTGTCTCTTATGGTGGGTTAATGCATTCCTCCCTTTCCCAATCCACTCAGCCCGGTTCACAGATCTGGTGAGCAGTGTGGGGCGCGCACCTGTCCCGCAGCCTCAAACGGAGTCGCCTTCCTCTCGAACCTCTGTCCCCCCTCCCCAAACCTCCTCTCCCCCAACCCTGCCCCCCTCTGTGTCTGTACAGAGTGAGTATATAGTGTGTGTGCTTTAGCATAAGGTCAAGTCCACATTGCACTTTAATGACTTTAAAGGCCTTGATTCATTACAAAATAAAGTTCATCCACTCTTTCCTGTTGGGATCAGAAGGAAGGCGATGCACAACTTGGCACTGCACAGCGTCTAGTTTTCTTCAGAGCCATCTTAATCGTTTGGTTTCTGTGTAGACCTGCATTTTCCTCTTGCGTTATTTACCTACTACATATGCGAATCGGTGGGCGGAGCTTAACAGGCAGTGATGTAGAAGCAGGCGTTGAACTACTTCTGCGGAGGCGGGGTTTAGGCCGATCGGCTTCAATATAAGCTGTTTTTGGACTAACGAGAAAGTTTTGAGTTCTGAAACTTACAGGAGGATTTTATAGTACAATGACCTCTTATATGTCACAAGATCAAGGAAATTTTTCTTTCTCAGTTCATGACCCCTTTAATGGTAAGAATGAAAAAGAACAGTCTGCAGCTGAATTCCTATCAACCCTGTAACCAACATACGACATTCGGAAGTAGCAGGAGGCAGTTTTCCCTGATAAAAATGCAGCATTTAAGCATCTGAAATAACATTTACAGAGTATGGTTTGTGACAGAACTGTGATGCACTTCCATACATATCCGCTTAGAGGAAGTGGGACGTTTATCAAAGCTGAAGCCACAGTCAGAGACTTTAGAGCAGGCCTGCGGTGTCAGATTGACAAGGAGAAACTGAAGGACGTGTCGGGGCCACTAAGCTCCTCTAAAGTGGAGCAGGAAGCTGTGAAGGGAGGGAGAGAGAGAGAGGAAACGAGAAGTAAGCCGTATCTAAGGATCCAGGAATAGCTCAACTAGCTCCATGCAGTTAACAAGGAAAAGACAGAAGAAGACGAGGAGGAGGAAAGTGGTGGAGATGTCGATTAGATGAAGGCAGAGTGTTTTTGGGCATCTGTGCATGTGTAAGCGTACAAACTTAAATCAGAAGAGAGAGTTTAGTCAGAGTATTGAGGAGGAATGGATGAGGGTTTAGACTGAAGATCATGACTGAGAAACTAGGTAAGTCCACAGCAGAGCTGGTGTGTGTTAAACCTCTCTCAGCCTCTCAGGTCTGGAATCAGGAGGACGTGACCTTTCTGACCTCTGCCTGTGTTTCAGAGCGTTAACTCTTGGTTTAGGTTGAAATTTGTCTGTTCATGTCATGTACAACTAAGAGGAACACTTAGCGTTTGGCTCTATCAGTCTATAGTTTTAAAGAATCCATGAATGCACAATTGTCTTTCCTGTGCTGATGTATTTCCTGTAGAGACAGGAAGTTGGGAACATGCTCTACCGCTAAAAAGTTTGGGGTCAGTAAGATTTGAAAAGAAATTCGTCCTTTTATTCAGCAAGGATGCATTAAATGCTTTGACTTTTCTATCCATCAAAGAATCCTGAAAAAAATGTATCATGTTTCCACAAATATATGAAGCAGCAAAACTTTTTTCAACATTGATAATCAGAAATGTTTCTTGAGCAGCAAATCAGCATATTAGAATGATTTCTGAAGGATCATGTGACACTGAAGACTGGAGTAATGATGCTGAAAATTCAGCTTTGATCACAGCAATAAATTACATTTTAAAATGCATTAAAATAGAAAACAGTTATTTTAAATTGTAATAATATTTCACAAATGTTACAGTTTTACTGTATTTTTTTTATCAAATAAATGCAGTATAAGAGATTTATTAAAAAAAAAAAGCTTACTGACACCTAACTAAGATTAATAAAGGCTATGAGATATTGTCCATTTTTATTTGTATTATTATTTTTTATTATTATTATTATGGTCCATTTTAAGCCACTAAGAGACACAAAAGTCACATTTTGATTTTATGGGGTCTTTAATTCACGTCTTTTAACGTAAAGATTAAAATATTCCAATATCTGAAGTAAAAAGTATTTACTTTTTTTTTAATAATCATAATTTTGAGTGGGAAAAAATATTAAACTAAGGTGGGACTACTTAGCATAAACTGTATGTGTGTATTCACCTTTCTCTTACAGCACGCAAACAGGAAATCATTAAGATCACGGAGCAGCTGATAGAAGCCATCAATAATGGGGACTTTGACGCCTATGCGTATGTTACCTTATGCTTTCATGCAAACACAAACCACTTTGGCCCAAAACACGCCATATTGTACAATACAAGAATGCTATAGCAGCCATTAGTGTAAACTGTCTTCTTCTACAGTCAGTTCTACTGTCATGGCGGAGAAACAGTTTAGTTAGAGTAAGATGAAAATAGTTCAACTGTCCATGTTTATAGCTGCTACCTGAATAATAATACACAATGGGACCATTGTAACAGGAAAATATGTGACCCTGGACTGACCTCCTTTGAACCCGAGGCTTTGGGGAACCTAGTTGAGGGAATGGACTTCCATAGATTCTACTTTGAGAACTGTAAGTGTGTTCAACCAGAAAGACTACCATGGTTTAAATCATTGTGTGATATAAATCACAGGAATTATCTGTAGCACCATGCACATGATCTTTCTCCATGTGTTTGTGTTTCTCCTCAGTGCTTTCTAAGAACAGCAAGCCCATCCACACCACCATCCTGAACCCTCACGTGCACCTGATCGGAGAAGAGGCCGCCTGCATCGCCTACATCCGCCTCACCCAGTTTGTGGATGGACAGGGCCGGCCACGCAGCAGCCAGTCGGAGGAGACCCGCGTGTGGCACCGTCGGGACTCCAAATGGCAGAACGTTCATTTCCACTGCTCCGGTGCACCGGCTGCCCCTCTCCAGTGAAGGTGACGCTTTGGAGTTGTCCATTTTCTGCAACTTTTTACTTTTGTTTTCACACTAGAGCTTTTGGTGTGGATTCAAATCTGTTTCACAGTAGAGTTTTGGTTGGTGTCAAGATGGATTCTGGGTTATTATAGTTAACTGAAATGAAAACCATAAAAACATTTTCGTTATCTAAAATAAAATACACATTAACTGAAATAAAATCAAATATTAAAAACATAAACTTATTTGATCTCAGCTTATTGTCAAGGAAACATTTCTCGTTTTCATTTAGTTTAACTTGATGTATTAAAATAACTCAAACTGAAATTTAAAAAAAGCATTATGTAGACATATCAAAAAAGACCAAAAAACAACAAAACTTTAACTAAAATTAAAATAAAACAGAAAATATAAAATAAAAATTCTAAATATTAATAAAAACTATAATATTTCAGTTATACTAAAATAACACATAAGAGCATAAGAAACTTTCAAAAAGAAAGTCTTTCAAAAATATTACTGTCCTCAAACTTTTGAACAGTATTATATTTGTATACAACAAATTCCTTGTTTAAGGTAATTTATATTAATTCAAATAAAATATTCAAATAAATTCATATTATGGCTCATTTCCACTGAGCGGTACTGTATAGTACGGTACACAATTATGTCCGTTTCCACTGTCAGAAGTTGTGAATGGTACCAAAATAGTGTACCATACCACTTTTTTGGTACCCTTCCGTTGAGGTACCTAGCACAGCAAAGGGTACCAAAAGGGTGGAGCTAAACTCACCGCAGAACGTTGATTGGTTGACTAGAATCGTCACTTTTATGTGATACAAGGGGATAAAGCGTCCTTCACTCGTTCCGCTTTGCTGTCCATGAGTGTTGGGCTTATTTGCATCAGAGTGCGCAAGCACAAAAAAATATAACCGCGCGTTTTATATTTTCACACAGACAATAGCCGTTTCTCAATATGCGTTCTTATGGACTTGTGAAACGTCATTGCCCAAAAACCTGCGTAATTTTCTAAATATTAGTTGTTGTGTCATGAAATTTAGTTTTTCAGGTGCGAATGTAATTGTTTAAAACTCAAACATCTGCGGTTTATTTATAAAGATAGCAAATTTTCAAATAGGTGCTATGCCGATTTTGGAGCTCCAGGCGATCAGCGGGCGCTCAGTGCTCATGTATCCACCAAGAGCAGCCTCAACTCGGCTAGTCCTTCCGACATTTGGCGCTGGCTCTGATGTCTCTGTAGTGATTAAACATGAGATACAATTCATTACAATTTCATTTCAATTTTCATCACTTTATTTCCTCTTATACAGTGGGGAAAAAAAGTATTTAGTCAGCCACCAATTGTGCAAGTTCTCCCACTTAAAAAGATGAGAGGCCTGTAATTTTCATCATAGGTATACCTCAACTATGAGAGACAAAATGAGAAAAAAAAATCCAGAAAATCACATTGTAGGATTTTTAAAAGAACTGTAAGTGTGTTCAACCAGAAAGACTACCATGGTTTAAATCATTGTGTGATATAAATCACAGGAATTATCTGTAGCACCATGCACATGATCTTTCTCCATGTGTTTGTGTTTCTCCTCAGTGCTTTCTAAGAACAGCAAGCCCATCCACACCACCATCCTGAACCCTCACGTGCACCTGATCGGAGAAGAGGCCGCCTGCATCGCCTACATCCGCCTCACCCAGTTTGTGGATGGACAGGGCCGGCCACGCAGCAGCCAGTCGGAGGAGACCCGCGTGTGGCACCGTCGGGACTCCAAATGGCAGAACGTTCATTTCCACTGCTCCGGTGCACCGGCTGCCCCTCTCCAGTGAAGGTGACGCTTTGGAGTTGTCCATTTTCTGCAACTTTTTACTTTTGTTTTCACACTAGAGCTTTTGGTGTGGATTCAAATCTGTTTCACAGTAGAGTTTTGGTTGGTGTCAAGATGGATTCTGGGTTATTATAGTTAACTGAAATGAAAACCATAAAAACATTTTCGTTATCTAAAATAAAATACACATTAACTGAAATAAAATCAAATATTAAAAACATAAACTTATTTGATCTCAGCTTATTGTCAAGGAAACATTTCTCGTTTTCATTTAGTTTAACTTGATGTATTAAAATAACTCAAACTGAAATTTAAAAAAAGCATTATGTAGACATATCAAAAAAGACCAAAAAACAACAAAACTTTAACTAAAATTAAAATAAAACAGAAAATATAAAATAAAAATTCTAAATATGAATAAAAACTATAATATTTCAGTTATACTAAAATAACACATAAGAGCATAAGAAACTTTCAAAAAGAAAGTCTTTCAAAAATATTACTGTCCTCAAACTTTTGAACAGTATTATATTTGTATACAACAAATTCCTTGTTTAAGGTAATTTATATTAATTCAAATAAAATATTCAAATAAATTCATATTATGGCTCATTTCCACTGAGCGGTACTGTATAGTACGGTACACAATTATGTCCGTTTCCACTGTCAGAAGTTGTGAATGGTACCAAAATAGTGTACCATACCACTTTTTTGGTACCCTTCCGTTGAGGTACCTAGCACAGCAAAGGGTACCAAAAGGGTGGAGCTAAACTCACCGCAGAACGTTGATTGGTTGACTAGAATCGTCACTTTTATGTGATACAAGGGGATAAAGCGTCCTTCACTCGTTCCGCTTTGCTGTCCATGAGTGTTGGGCTTATTTGCATCAGAGTGCGCAAGCACAAAAAAATATAACCGCGCGTTTTATATTTTCACACAGACAATAGCCGTTTCTCAATATGCGTTCTTATGGACTTGTGAAACGTCATTGCCCAAAAACCTGCGTAATTTTCTAAATATTAGTTGTTGTGTCATGAAATTTAGTTTTTCAGGTGCGAATGTAATTGTTTAAAACTCAAACATCTGCGGTTTATTTATAAAGATAGCAAATTTTCAAATAGGTGCTATGCCGATTTTGGAGCTCCAGGCGATCAGCGGGCGCTCAGTGCTCATGTATCCACCAAGAGCAGCCTCAACTCGGCTAGTCCTTCCGACATTTGGCGCTGGCTCTGATGTCTCTGTAGTGATTAAACATGAGATACAATTCATTACAATTTCATTTCAATTTTCATCACTTTATTTCCTCTTATACAGTGGGGAAAAAAAGTATTTAGTCAGCCACCAATTGTGCAAGTTCTCCCACTTAAAAAGATGAGAGAGGCCTGTAATTTTCATCATAGGTATACCTCAACTATGAGAGACAAAATGAGAAAAAAATTCCAGAAAATCACATTGTAGGATTTTTAAAGAATTATGGTGGAAAATAAGTATTTGGTCAATAACACAATTTCATCTCAATACTTTGTTATATATCCTTTGTTGGCAATGACAGAGGTCAAACTTTTTCTGTAAGTCTTCACAAGGTTTTCACACACTGTTGCTGGTATTCTGGCCCATTCCTCCATGCAGATCTCCTCTAGAGCAGTAATGTTTTGGAGCTGTCGCTGGGCAACACGGATTTTCAACTCCCTCCAAAGATTTTCTATGGGGTTGAGATCTGGAGACTGGCTAGGCCACTCCAGGACCTTGAAATGCTTCTTACGAAGCCACTCCTTCGTTGCCCGGGCGGTGTGTTTGGGATCATTGTCATGCTGAAAGACCCAGCCACGTTTCATCTTCAGTGCCCTTGCTGATGGAAGGAGGTTTTCACTCAAAATCTCACGATACATGGCCCCATTCATTCTTTCGTTTACACGGATCAGTCGTCTGGTCCCTTTGCAGAAAAACAGCCCCAAAGCATGATGTTTCCACCCCCATGCTTCATAGTAGGTATGGTGTTCTTTGGATGCAACTCAGCATTCTTTCTCCTCCAAACATGACAAGTTGAGTTTTTACCAAAAAGTTCTATTTTGGTTTCATCTGACCATATGACATTCTCCCAATTCTCTTCTGGATCATCCAAATGCTCTCTAGCAAACTTTAGACGGGCCTGGACATGTACTGGCTTAAGCAGGGGGACACGTCTGTCACTGCAGGATTTGAGTCCCTGGCGGTGCAGTGTGTTACTGATGGTAGCCTTTGTTACTTTGGTCCCAGCTCTCTGCAGGTCATTCACTAGGTCCCCCGTGTGGTTCTGGGATTTTTGCTCACAGTTCTTGTGATCATTTTGACCCCACGGGGTGAGATCTTGCGTGGAGCCCCAGATCGAGGTAGCTTATCAGTGGTCTTGTATGTCTTCCATTTTTTAATAATTGCTCCCACAGTTGATTTCTTCACACCAAGTTGCTTACCTATTGCAGATTCAGTCTTCTCAGCCTGGTGCAGGTCTACAATTTTGTTTCTGGTGTCCTTTGACAGCTCTTTGGTCTTGGCTATGGTGGAGTTTGGAGTGTGACTGTTTGAGGTTGTGGACAGGTGTCTTTTATACTGATAACGAGTTCAAACAGATGCCATTAATACAGGTAACGAGTGGAGGACAGAGGAGCCTCTTAAAGAAGAAGTTACAGGTCTGTGAGAGCCAGAAATCTTGCTTGTTTGTAGGTGACCAAATACTTATTTTACCGAGGAATTTACCAATTAATTCTTTAAAAATCCTACAATGTGATTTTCTGGATTTTTTTTCTCATTTTGTCTCTCATAGTTGAGGTATACCTATGATGAAAATTACAGGCCTCTCTCATCTTTTTAAGTGGGAGAACTTGCACAATTGGTGGCTGACTAAATACTTTTTTGCCCCACTGTATAAGCCTCTTATACTTTGTACTTATACTTTTATAATGGCTATTATTGTTCATTAAAACTGACATTTAACAAAAAGAGGCAGAGTTGTGCGATCGCTACATTCCGGCATACACCACGCCTATCAAGAAGGGTACTATTGGCAGTGGAAACGCAAGCCTGATCCGGGTTACCCGTACCGAATCGTACTGTACTGAACTATACTGTACCGTACCGCTCGGTGGAAACGAGCCATTAATTATATTATAATTGTTAATATAATTAATAAGCATTAATAAAAACATAAAATAATATTTAAATAGTTATTTTAGTTAATTTTTTTTACATATTTTTAAATGTATGTATATTTAATTTATTTTTAGAACATTCACTCCAGTGTGAGCTGATTTAAAAACAGCATTTCTGTGTTTTTGTATTTCAGAGTGGCCCTGAAACAGATACATTAGATGCGAGTGACATGGAGGACTGATAGGTCCAGCGTCGGAGCGCTCCGAAACCTCCAGCCTTCCAACGCTGGACACAGCCGTCCTCCCCTGCATGCAAACCGACAGTTATCTCTCTACCTGCTGGGCTGCTCTCAACACAGCATCCAGAACCCCCCTCACCTCCGACTCCACCCAGCACGCTCCCGAACGTCTTTATGCCAAGACTCCCTCCCGACGCAAGAGCAGCACTGCAAATATTAATCATCGAGAGCAATCATAGACTCCAGGTTCCCGTCTAGAGTTATAATAACCCGCACGATTGCCTTTGCGCTCGTCTTCATTGGCCTTATGCCCCCTGTGCCCAGGTACTCCCAAATACAGTAGATCATGTTTTAATAAAAATATCATTATTATTATTGTATTTATTGTTATTGTTACTACTATTGATTATATATGATTATTACTTCCGTCAGGATTCGAAGTATTGCTGTTGTTCTTGAGATTGTATATTTGATGGTAAAATTATCTAATAACTCTTTTTTTGTAAGCATGGATTTTAAGTATTTTTTGGTGTTCAAATAATCTGAAGTCTATCTAAAAGGAGCAGCACACACATGGTTTTAAGATTCAAAACTCACGGCGAGCAGTTTTTCTGTCACCGTGATCAGTGTTTGTATTATCAGGTCACCAATCAGATCTCTTGGAGGCAGCTGACATCATCACATCATTGAGATTCGCCTCGTATATCTGCAGGTTGCCAAGTTGAATTCCTTCAAAAGGAGCTTTTTGTCTCTAAATCAGAGCATAATCTCATGTATTGGCCCTTGATGACCAGCAGCTGATGTGTCCTTCTTATTGACAATCAATGCTGATCTGGTTTTATGTGAGTTTTGGTGGTCTGTGAGACTAGGAATGTCTGTTGAAGCTTGTCTTCTTTTTCTCAAGGGATCTAGTAGGATGATTCAAGAGAGTACAGTATGTTGTTTTTAAGGGCCTTTATTATAAAGCAGCAGGATATTTACCGCTGTTCGCTGGCCAAGTGTGTTCAAGATTTAAATAGCCATTCTGGATCCCTCGGTGATCAGAAACCTGCGAATTTTAACGTGTTTGTACCTTTGTCACAGGAACGTTGTGATTCACCTCGACTCAGGCACCTACAGTTATCATTCTTTTTTTTCTTCTTTTTTGTTCTGTACACGCAGGAACTTTTTATATATAATTTATGTGGCGTAATTATGGCGGTATTGTTCTTAGTTTGTGTGTGTGTGTGTGTGTGTGTGTACGTGTGTGGTTTTACAATACAATGGCACTGATATCCTGAATGTGAAAGCATAGTCACTATATTAAAGTGTTGAAAGCCATAATGCACAGAGTGAGAATTTTGGGCGGATTTGCAAGAATGTTTTTGTTAGTGTAGTCTGTCAAGCAGAACTGGAAGACAGTCTTATGTGGATTGACTAGGGGGCTTCCTGACAACTAGTACTTGTTCGTTTTTGACATCCTGTCAAAAGATTTCTGAAGTCACACAACCTTTGTTGAGGCTACTCGTTGTGTTTTATGTTGCTTTTAAAGGAATAGTTTCCCCAAAATGGAAGATTTGCTGAAAATGTACTCACCCTCAGGTCATCCAAGATGTAGATGAGTTTCTTCATTGTAACAGATTTGGAGAAATGTATCATTGCATCACTTGCTCACCAATGGATCCTCTGCAGTGAATGGGTGCCGTCAGAATGAGAGTC